CATGACCTGTAGGCTTTTAAAAGAGCTCCCTTTCTTCCTTCTTCTGCCTCCAGATTCTCCCAGCACCATTTCTACCTACTTTGTCCAAGTTCAGACTGGGTCTCATGCCGGACTGACCAAGCTGCTACCTGTCCTCTATCATCATAGAAAGTCCTCTAGGGGATCCGATTGCTTCTCTGAACTGCTTTCCATGTGCCCAATTTGCCATTCCTGCAACCTCCAACAAAATTGCCCTGCCTTCTGTGGTACAGCTTTGTCCTCATTTTTAAGCAGATTATTCCTTCTCTCCCCCCGCCCCACCCCAAGTCTTTGCAGAGTGCTGTGGGCATTGCTTTCCCTTATGGAAGCAGAAGCAGAAAATGAATGCTGTATCCCCACTCCTCTGATTTTGGCAGGCTCTCATTTCTGTCCTACAATCAGATCTCCAGCACCCTGCCAAGACTCCTACCCTTTGTCCCAAAGGCCATAGTTCCTCTTGTTCCTCATTTGAATGCAATATCTAGTCTTTCAAAATTCTCTGTGAGTGTAATGTTTTGTCATCAACGCATTCAGTTCAGGAGTCCTGACATTATTAAATGATACTCTATTACAAAATGTATCATTGAAACCAATCAAAAGTTTAAAGCATAAATACAAAATAATTACTTAAGAATAGCTTAAATAAAAAGTCTATATTAGCAAGGCACCAGTGGCTCATGCCTGTAATCCTAGCTATTCAGGAGGCAGAAATCAGGAGGATCAAGGTTTGAAGCCAGGCCAGGTAAATAGTTATTGAGACCCTATGCTAAAAATACCCAACACAAAACAGGGCTGACAGAGTGGTTCAAGGGGTGTAACGCCTGCTTGGCAAGTGTGAGGTCCTGTGTTCAAACCCCAGTACTACCAAAAAAAAAAAAAAAAGAAATCTATATTATGACTTGTTAAGAAACAGAATCTTAAGAGAAGAAAGGAGAGGATGACAAGATAATTAATGTGTGGAATAGACACACAGAAAAAGAAAATAAGACAGACATGCAATCAGAAATGGAGCAAGCGACTGGAAGAGAGGAGTGATTTTGAAAGACAGAACTTGAGAGGGCAACCTGCCTCCTCTGTGCACATCCTCAAAAGACAGGTCACAGGCTCAGATACAAAAATTAGGAGCTGTTAGGAAAAAAGAACAATATACACCAAGTTAGAATAAGACACAACTTGCACGGACATCATGCTAGGAAGATCCTGAGGGTAATGACAAGGTATAATCCCTAAACATACCCCAAAAGAGTGATATCTCTATCTCGTGGCATCGAAGAGGTCGTGTTGTTGTGCATTTTCACAACTATAGGCACAAATGCAGAAAAGGCCCTTGGTTGCTTGTTCTAGAAACAAAACAACCTTGAAATGAGGTCAAACCTGAGAAAGCTCTGACTCTCCCCACTTTTAAGAAAGACGAATTAAGACTAGGTAACTGGCATAGATGGTTACTAACTCCTTTGCAGGCTTTTTGCCTTTGTTTTTATTTCTCAAAGTACCCTGAAGTTAAACAGTATTTTGGCCACCTAGAGTTCTATGGACAGCAGAATATCTGACGAGTTAAATGAGTTAATATTTGTAAACTTCTTAGAACATGAAGTGCTAATGCATTTATTAAATAATTAAAATACAATGCATACTATCTTTAGCCAAATGGGTTAGTCTCTGGACTCATTGTCTCAGTCCATGACCTTGACCTTGCTGGAGCTACTGAACTGCTCTCTAGTGCCCTCTTCTGGTGCCTGCTTAAACTCCCCCATCTCCACCTCTCAAAACACAACATTTTTTCAGTCAGAATTTAATAACTGCACCACCTCCTCCCAAATTAATTTCACCAAAGGCACTAAAGTAACTCTTGTTGCCAAATCTGGTGAATGCCTTTCTATTTTCATCGTACATGACCTCTCAATGGCAGGCAGCACCAGGAACCACTCCTCCCTTTACATCTGTGATGTCAGTGTCCTTCCCTGTATGGTTGTGCACCTGCTTCTCTGCCCTCTCATCTATGGGGAGCTCCTTCCCCTCGCTGTCCTTTAACCGCGGATGCTCCTCGGAGCTCCGACTCAAGTTGGCTCCCTTCCTGCTCTCACGCCCTCCTGCAGAAGCATTTTGTCTCAGTTCATGCCTGGCTCCCACTTGACTGCAGGCGACACAGGAAAAGGAGACAATTAGCTCTACTCAGTCTGCCAATTCATGAAAGGAAAAATCTAAGTTCATTTCAATAAAATTTTTCCATCTATATGATACCAAATATGCTAGCTCAACTGGATGTTTTTTGTTTCTGAAGTTTTGCATCCACAGGGATAGTTTTAGTCATGGTGGCCTAAAGAAGAGGTGGGCATCTTATCTGTGTGGCGCTATCTTGTTCTCCTTTCATGGGGCTCCACTTCCCTATAGGGAAGAAGACCACCTGAAAATGTTTTCAGTTGACATAAGTCACCTTCATTTTACTGCACCTTTTTTTTTTGGTGTTGGGGGGGAGTATTCCAAAGAGGGTGACCACCCAGATCACTCAACTGCAGGGCCATTACTAGAACAAATCACTGTCGAGATGAATGTATGCTAGAAGCAAGCATGCCAGGGAGCTTGCCCCAAGATGCTGCTAATGTAGTTGTGGGCACAGAGTACCTACACCAAAGAGGAGAGTCAGTCAGTTAGCATGGAACAACAGGGAATGTGCGAATATTACATAAGCCCAGGACAAGAAGAGATCAAATTCAGTTGGGCTGGTCACAGGGAGGCATTTAGAATAATAATTACTACCTTTAATTGAAATCCTACTATATGTCAGTATCTATACAAATTCTCTTGACTCTGTCCCTCAGGATCCGGATAAAAGAAATTTTTATCAGGTTCTTGGTGCTCTGCTTGACACAAGTGAACATGTGATACATTGCAGCTATCATCCATTTAACAAATATCTCTTCAGTGTCTAACGTGGCTGGCAATGTGCAGTGGCTGGGGACACACTGCCAAGTAACATACTTGTGGTCTCTGCCCTCATTGAGCTTATAGGCAGATTCAACTGTCCAATATGGTAGCCACTTGGCACATGAGGCTATTAAAATTAAAATTTAGGATCCAGGAGTGGTGGTGCACCCCTGCTTAATTCTGGCACCTGGGAGGCTGAGGCAGGGGAATCGTAAGTTTGAGGCCAACCTGAGCTACAACAGCAAGGTCTTTTTCAAAAAAAGAAAAATAAAATTAGTTCAGTCACACTAGTTTCATTTCATGTGCTCACCAACCACAAGTTGTAGATTGCCATTACTGAAGAAAGCTCTGGAAATGGGCAGAGAACAATAGTAATTGCATACCTGTAGATAAAGGGTATGCTAGAGACTAACAAGTGGTGGGGGGAGGACATTATTGTTACCACTTCTACTATTCTCATTAAAATCAAAATGCAGAAACTGAGGCTCAGAGGTTAAGCAATTTGACCAACTTCACACAGCTACTCAGTAGAAGAGCTGGGATGTGAATCCAGCTCTGTCCTACTCCCATGCTCCCACGGGCTGTGTGATGGAGGAAATGAGCCAGGCACAGGTAGAAACTGGTCAAAGAGAGAAGATGGTGAAGCACCCCTGATGGGAAAGTGACAGTTTGGGCAAAGGCACAAAGGCCCAGATGGGCAAGGCTGGCAGAGGACCACAGGTAAACCAGTCTGGCTGGAGAGGCAATGATTTGCTGAACTCACGTCCTAGGAGAGGTAAGTCAGAACCTGTCTGCCTTGATTAGAAGCCAAGGAGCCCAGCAACACAGCCAGCCCTACACATGGAGGCTGAGGCCTTATAGGATGGTAAGCAGGGCCATGCAGGTCACATCCATGCATTATGATGAGGATGGTGCTTAGGAGCAACTGGCCAAGGTCAAAGCTAGGAAGGCCAGTTAACGATTGCAGGGAGGAGAGAAAGGAAGGGTGGGAAGCAAAGAACTGCGTGTGGGAGCCTAAAGACCTAATCCTGATTCAATTCTGTGAAGCATTGGGTAATAAACCACTCTGGGTCTGATTTCTTCAACTCTACAAGATCATGGTTGGCGCAGCTATCTCTTTTAGCAGTGGTAGACTAGGATTCCTTGGGCTAAGAGAAGCACTAGGAAGTGTAGCATTGAATACCGTGGCAAGGGAGATGGCAGAGTCAAAGGCCATCCTGAGATGAAGGGGAGATGATGTATCACTAACAAACTCAGACAATGGGAGAACTTGTCTTTTTGGGGGGAGAGCGGGAGTGAGCATGGGATATGGAGGTTGAGAAGATAAGAAGTAGGGAGGAAATAATGGCTTTTTATGCCAGTTGTACAGTGTTAGAGATCATTATTTTACACTCTAAAAGATAACGTTTAAACTTTTTTCTTTTTTGACTTACGATCCACAGTAGGAAATACAACTTACATCACGGTCCAGCACACCTGTCCAGTATATGTAATCAGAGCAAAAGGGTCATGAAACAATAGTTTTTCTTATTAAGGGCGATGGGCTCGAGTCTTTTAAAAAGCTAGTTGCCGTCTACCACATTTATTTTGTGATCGTTTCAGGTGTCACGACTAACGATTTTAAAAACACTGTTTAAGACTCAACAAGTCCTCCTAAGTTGGAGGCAATAGCAGGGCACCCTACCCAAAGCATCCTGGAGGGCGCAGAAGTAAATCTGGAGAGGGTTCGGGCTGGGGGCAGTTTGGAGAAGGTTTAGCCGAAGCTGTGATCGGAGAGTGTTGAGGAACGGGAAGGTGGGAACCTCGTATCCAGGTGATGGGTGGGGGTGGGGGGTCTGGACCGCGTAGACGCGAAGAGACCGGAGTCGGGGTGGCACGGAGACCACGGTCCCGCGGAGTTCAGCGACCAGCTGGGCGTGGCGGCAATGGCTTCACATCTGCCCTGGCGCGGAGCTGCGAAGCGCCCACTCCCTCCATTCATTCCTCTGCCTTCTCGGGGAGCGCCAGCCCTGGGCGGGGTGGACAGGCCACTTTGCGAGCCGGGTGTCCCTTTCCAGCCGCTCGCCCTCCCCGCGCCGGCACGCGCGCGCACACAAAGTTCTGGAGGTCCCGGTGCGGCCGGGATCTCGGGGCTTGGGAGTGGACACTGGGCTGGCGAGGTCCAGGCGGGACCTCAGCTCGGCTCCCCCCGGGGGACTGCCCTCCGCCCCCGCCGCCGCGCCCCGCGCCCGGCGCCCGGCTCTGCCCTTCGGCTCGGCCTTCCCCGCCTCGCATCCGTGCCATCGGCGCTCGATTGCGCGCGGACTCCCTGTGGCTCTTCCCGGCTCGCTCGCTCTCTCTCGCTCGCTCGCGCCCGGCCGCGCCGCCCCTCCTGCGCCCGCCCCCGCCCCCGCCCCCTCCTCCTCCCGTGCAACTTTTGCCGGAGCCCCCGCGCACAGCCATGCTGAGCTGAGCCCCGGCCGGGCCCTGGCCGCCGCCGCTGCCCGCCCCGGCTCCCGCCCTCGCGGACCCGCTCGGGGCCGCGGCCGCCCGGCCCTCGGCCTCGGCGCTCCGCCCGCCCGTCCGCCGGTCCGTCCGTCCGTCCGTCCGCCGGCCGGCCGAGCCCCGCGCAGGGCCCGGGCCGCGGCGGCGGCGGCGGCGGTGGCGGTGGCGCGCCCGCCCGGCCCCCTCCCCCGGCGCCGGCCAAGTGAGGCGGTGATGCGGGCGCTGGCGGCCTCGGCTGCGCCGAGAGCGGAGACACAGGCTCAAGATGGCAGATTCCGACTGAGGCTGGGGGGGCCGAGCTCGCGCGCCGCTTTCCCTTCTCCGTTGCCATGAATCGCGGACACCCCGGCCCCGATGGCCCCCGTGTACGAAGGTAAGGGACGCCGGCCGACCCCCGCTCGCCCGCCGCGCCGCCGCGGCCCCCGCAGCTTTGTTCTGCCCGCGGCCCCTCGCCGGCCGCCCCCCCCGGGCCGAGCCCCCCCGGACTGGAGGACTCCTCGCGCCCCCTCCCGAGCCCAGAGTGGGACCCCGTCCCGCACTGAGCAGGATCGCATTGCCAGGGTGGAGAAAGAGGCTGGGGGGGGTGCGGGAGGGGGTGTGTGCCCGGGTGGGCTTCTGTCCAGAGAAAAGAAATGGGGTGGTGGGCGGGGGAGGGACCGCCGGGGACAAGACAGATCGGTGACTGTGCTTTTTATTTATTTGTAATAAATGAAGGTGATGCGGTTTTTAGCTTTCATCCCTCCCCCCAGCATTACCTTTAGGATGGTCCCCTTTCTACTTCTCTGCCCTCACTGCTCCCTTTGCACTCCCACCCCACACTCCTTTATTCTTCGCCAGCCTCCGATTTGGGGAAGGGGGAGGGAGGGGGCTGTGGAATCGGATTGTGTGGGGCCAGGCGGTGAGAGGGGACAGAGATGACAAGTCCATTTCAGACCCAGGCAGAACAATGAAATAGGCTAAAATCTCCCCGCATTAGCGTGGGGAAGGGAGACTAGTTTGGGCTTTCAAGTGTGGTGTGGGCAGAGGCGTTTTTCTAGGTAAATCTGTATTGTGCACCTTCACCTGGCCGTTGGGTGATTTTTCAGATCCGACTGCCTTCAGGAAGAAAGAAAAGAAGGTAAGGCAAAAGCACATATTTGCCTTACACTCTCTTCAGTCAGTTCCGTCAGCCTCCAGCCAGAAATCAAACCTGAATCAACTAAGTTTTTACACTTCGATGTGTTTTTGGGTGCCTGTAGTACTAGGGATTTTTCAACCAAAGTGTGCCTGATTTTGCAGTCATTTCATTGTGTGAACGTTTCTCCTCTGGAATCATTGAAATAGCAGCCTTTACATACTTTTTCGCGTGGGTCCATCTGGCTTTCTTTCGGTTTTGTTCAGATGTTCAGTGGATGAAATCGCAAAATGATAGGCTTTGCATAGAACCAAGAGGAGGGGCATAGGGAAACTGTAATCCTGTAAACCCGGAGAACAGTTGTGGCCAGAGAGAGGGGATCACATTCGTAGTTTTATCTCTGTTAGGAAAGGCTGATTTAAAAAAAAAAAAAAAAAACTTATCTGAAAAGAAAATCTGTTATTAGTTCCAGGGCTCCAAATGAATTAGGTTTCTGGGTGGAATAAAGTTACCAGTCAGGCCTTGGATAATGAGGCTGTAAATAACCTATCGACTGTAAATATTTTTTTTTCAGGCTCTCTTAGAAACAAAGGGGCTGTTTAGAAGGCAACAGAGAGATGTTATTCCAGGGGCTTTTCTCTTTGATTCTGAAGAACACAAGGTCCATTTAACCGTTCCACCAAACAAAACAAAATTTCTGATCACTCCACCAGGCTGAATAGAACATGCCGGTGGAGATGTGAACATGTAGGAGAGCCGTGTTGGGCATTCATTGTTCATCTGTGTCTAGGGGAGGGGGCTGCAGTCAAAGCTCCCACTGTCTAGAGTGTTAAAATGAAACAGTTTTCTCTTTATTAAGCACCTCCTTGAGACTCCCTCTGCTGGACACTCGTGGTGAGCAGTAGAGAAGGAACTTCACTGAATTCAGAACTATAGCAGACACTGCTTTCCCTGTTACAGGGCGCTGGGTATGTGGGTCGGGGAGTATTTTGTCAACTTTGTACAAAGCCATTTTGGGAACTGTGCTGTTCTGTTCACTACATTCTAAGTGCATGTGGCATTTAGGCCTTCCCTTCCAAGCTAAAACTCGCCCTCCTGTTCTTATTACATTTCTTTTAGTGCATTACACCAGATAAAGAGCTGCAGGTGTATAAGGTGTTATGGCTTAAGAATAATCATGGATCTCAAAGGTCTAGTTTTTATTTGCCAGGCTTCCTTCCCTCTCCCAGGCGACCAGCCTGGCTACCCCTTTCAACCCTGGGTTTTCCTCAATCTTGTCTATGTGCGCTCTTAATTATTCCTGTGTGTTGTAGCTTCTTATTCTATGGAAGCCTCTCTGTGCATGTTTGTGATTCTTTTCCTATTCTTCCTCCTCAACTTCTCCTCTACCAGCCCAGAAACTCTTGGCCAAAAGCTCAGGCCTGATCTTTATGAGCGAGACTATAGGGCATGCTGTAAGACAGACAGATGGTGTCAGTAGTCAGGGCCTACATTCACTCCCTGTAGTGAGGGCTTCCGAGAATCCAGTGACCTCTTTTTCCCTCTAGATTGGTGACATCCTGTAGATTCAGTGAACCTGATTTTTATCATATCCCTGTGTGTGTGTGTGTGTGTGTGTGCGTGTGCACGTGCGCGTGTGTGTGTGCATGTGCGTGTGTGTGTGTGTGTGTGTGTGTGTATGAAATGCACAGGGTTTTTCCTGTGAAATTCTCCAAGAGGGATTTCTTACAGGTTTTGCACTCCTAAAAATTGAGCATGATCTTCTCAGAAGTCTGATGACACATGAGGTCTTCGGCTGAAATTCCTCAAATGGAGTGCCACTGTGCTAGGTCGGAGTACTGGTTGGAGGCTGGAATGCATTAGTGGAGCTTTCTGAACGGCCAGAGATTTAGACAGGAACACTGCTTTGAAACGAGACATATTTGATCATACATATTAGTAGGCAACAATGTGTGATCAGTCCTCGGGACTCACTTGAAGGGTAGGTTCATAAATAGCACATTAGTTTTCAGTGGCTTGATACTAATCAAGTTAAACGTCTTTTAAAAAAGTTTATTTTCTTTAGAAGGTTAAACATTTGCCTTGTGATTGCATTTATTCCATTGACTTGCTAAGCAAGGCCAAGTGCAAAGGCCAACCACAGAGGTCTGAATTGCCAGGGGTTCTGAGTGAGAGGACCTAAATTCCAACTTAATTATGTCTTACTATACCTGAGATGTGGCATGTTAATTAGCGTTGGCTTCTATAAAGGAATACTTCACAGTCTTCCAAAAACTGTCATGCTGTAATCTGTCATCAGAAGGACCTGAAGACACCCCTCTACCAAGATGCCTACCAAGAAATGACATTCTGAATCATCTTCCCTTAAAAGAATCGGATGACACATGTTCTAAAATATCTTTTCCTGTGTTTATGTTTTATATTTTTTAAATGAGTAAGTATAAATATTGTTTTCCTCCTCATCATATTTGAATAGGGAACCAAAGCTCACTAATTTTATTCTTGATCCTGGACAACCTGATGTGACCCCAGAATCAGGAAGACCAGAGTTTGAATCTAGCCATAGACTTGGGGTGTGCTACTTAACTTGGGGTAGCTTCATTAGATTGTTCAAGGTTGCTATTAGAAACTAGTACATTTAGCAAAGTCCCTGGCTGTCGTGGGCATTCTCTCAGTGTGTGTTAAATCCTACTGTCTTCTGAGCTGCTTACAGGCATGTTGACCCCAGGAAAAGCATAACCCACAAATAGTTTAGAAAACCAATAATAGCAACATTTCAATGATTAATCTCCTGCTATTCCTTTTCTAGTTTGGGCACCAGTAGCAATAAACCCCCTAGAGCCACAGAAGAAAGAACCTTTTTTTTTTTTTTACCCCTCTGTGACCTTTCCAGAGTCTTTATTCCCATCGAGCTTCTACAGGTTTCAAATGGACAATTTCTCTTCTCTAGTGGCACTGTTTTAAGAACGTGCAAACAGACACTGAAGACAGTTCAGGGACTACAGCTGTGCCCCAGGGAGTGTCCCCCAGTGTGAAAGGTAACTTCTGCCTTTAGCTGGGATCCATTCCTAAACGAGGTGGCAGGCTGGGCAAAGACCCCCTCCACCTAGGTTGCTCCCCTGGGCCTCCTTGGAGGGGAGACCCCCCCCCCTCCAGCCACAAGCTAGCGTCTGCGTCACCATGCACTAAATAGCACTTCCCTACCAGAGAAGATTAGGTGCTTCATTCAAGTTCTAGCTGCTCATCTACTTCCTAGTCTATGTTTTCTGTTCCTTCATTTCTCTCTCCCTACCTCCCATAGAGACCAATCTTGGGGATCCACCTTTGAGGTTTGCTTGGAACAAAGTAGTGATGATCAAGAGGCCAGGATATGTGGGCCTTTTATATTGTTCTCAGATCATGTTATTGGTCGGAGCTTTCTGGTAGTCTGCTGACGACTCAGGCACTTGGGGTTGCTGTCAAAGATGAGATTCAGAATAATGCCAGTAGACTTTGTCTAACCCCTGATAGAGTGTGAACTTGAAAGGCTCAAACTCATAGTAGTCCCACTTCCTATGGCAATACCTGTTGAAGGAAAACCCCCAGAAACCTGACACCCTGGAGTATGAGATCTTTATTTTTCCTCTAAAAGAAACTGCAATGCTTGGAGTAGATGTTAGTAATTAAGACTTAGACCTTGCTTTGCGCTGTGTACTTCCTGCACCCTCTACCCACAGGAACTCCCTGTTTCCCTACCCTGCAGACTGGGGCACATCTTTAAAACATCCATTCAGATAACATAAATTTACATAGGGTGCCCTCTGGCATTGGAGACATGGCACAAGTGGCAGAGTACACCCTAGCAAGTGCAAGGCCCTGAGTTCAATCCCCAGTACTACTCCCTCCCCCAAAGAAAAATGTATTCATAGGGTCTGCTCTGTGCTGGGCCCCAGTGATAGATAGGTTCTGGGTTTGGAGAAATGATAGTGACTTCATTCCGATCTTCAAGGAGTTCAGACATACAGGAAGTGAAAATCAAGATTCTTAAACTTGGGGTCACTGGGGAGTGGGTCTGACCCCAGATGCAATGTTTTTTCTTTATCTTCCTCTTCTTTCTTTTTTGAATCTTAGTAACAATTCTTCTTACTCCTTATGTTTTCTTAAGGTATTAAGGGAGACCCCATTTCCCTATTTTCTCTTGAAATACGTTGTTCACTTGAGCTTAAAAAAAAAAAAAGTATTTCCGAGTGTCAAAAATACTCATTACAGATTTCCTCAGACATTTCTAGACATTTCTTAGATATTACCATTTCTCATTTGCAGAAGATCTGTCTTCCTCTGTCATTACTTAAGTTTTATATCCTTGTCAATGCAAATACATTTCTCGTTTGCACGTTCTGCTGGGCATCTTTTGTTTTCTGCATTCAGAGCTACAGGCTCTGTTGTGAACAAGCCCCTGCATCCATGAGAGGCTGTCGGAGAATCCATTCCTGGCTTTGCTGCCCTGCTGAGCGCTTGTATTCCAGGTAGGACTGGTAGAACATAGGTGCTGTGGTCACACAACAGCACTGGCATGCTACTTCTCGGGCAAATCATTCTGGAAAGTGTGGAAAAGCAGTTCTGCCCTTGCTCTTGAGACCGTAGAACCCGAGAGCAGAAGACGTATTCCATCATTCTGTTTGTCAAGAACTCTAGGCCTGGTAGAAATCTCACCTGCTGTCATTCAAACTTGTTTTGTTTTATACTTTTCTTTAGAACCTTTCATATCCTTGAAAATAACAACAGGTCTCTTTAGCTTTTTCTTACAGAGCCTGTTTTGTGTCCTGAAAGCATCTGTTCTGTCTCTTAACTCTTTCTAGTTTCTCCCCATTAAAAAAAAAAAAAAGTTGGTGATCAAACCTGAATGCAGTTCTTTAATAATGTTTTCATTAGTACTGCAGATACAAGAAAAATGACTTTAGGGTTCCTGGATCCTTGGGAACCCCCAGAGGGAAGAACCATATCTGGTTCATCTTTGTATTCCCTATAGTGCAGTTCCTTAAGCTTAGTAGATACTTCATAAATATTTGTTGAATTGACTGTACTTTTAACATCTAAGCAGTAACTTCCATTTTGCCGGCCCTGGATTGGTGACTCATTTAGTTTTCACTCACCTGAGCCTGAGTCTTTATTTCTCTTAATCTCATGCCATCCTCCTCACCCAGCAAAGCCACCACCTTCTGCTTGACTCTGTGGAACACTTTGAATTTCACCCTTCTACTTCCAACTCTTCAGAATCTTTCTGAATTATCTCCTGCAGATCTGACAAACAGAATGCGGAGGACATAAGATATAACTAACTTGAACTGGACTTGAATGATGAGAGAATGCACAGAAGAATCTTGATGATGCGGTGTGGTATCTGTTCATCCAGGTTTAGAAAGGTCAGTTTGTCAAATTCTTCAGAGGTTATGAGTCAGCAAAACCATACCTGTTTTACCAGGTCCCTTAAGTCAGCGAACTAGGTATCAGAGGCTATCCCTTTTTTTTCCTTTGGTCTAAAGCCAATGGAAAAGGCAAAAGGTGTCATGGATAATCTCATTGCCACTGGTGTATTTTTCAGATGGATGTTTTTGCCATTAAAAAAAAAAAAGCAAACTTTTAGAACTGCAAAACATTTTATAGCCATTTATTTCTTCATGCAGCATTGAACAGATTTGCAGTGCTTTTGAGTGTTATATTTTAGCAATTCTTGCCTAACTACTTTTGCCCTGGTAGGTTCTGATTAATTAAATGCCACTATGTTTAAGCAGAATTAAGATGGATTGACCCTTCTGTGTATGCTAATGCTGAAGACTTTATAACACCTTTGTCATAAGAGAACGCAGTCTAATGTCTGACTGGACAAAGGCATTTCCTTGCCCAAGTGACTCTGTCCATCAACAGTGGACAGAGCCTTCTGTGACGTTGGATGGACCACATAGTTACAGAGCGTATCTTGATGAAAAAGGTTTGTCTGTGGATATTTACCATTTTTCTCAAAAACCAGTATTTCCTTATTGATTCAAACTGTGAATTGTTATTCAAATATAAAGTGGGTTTTCAAGGGGTTATCATCATAAAAGTGACCCATGATGGATCACGCTCATTTTAGGCAGAATGTCTAGCTTCCTAGCATTCTAGAAGCACATTTTAAGAGTATTTGTGCCTACAGGCCTGTTAAAAGTCACATGATAAGGAGATTTGGAAAACTCTGGCTTGTTGCTAGTTGTGAAAATGTGGTTTTTTTTTTTTTTTTTTTTCCTTTTCCACTTAACTTGTTTTCCCCCTCCAGTAAAGAATTTATAGGGTTCTGACAAAAACCAGAATGTAAATTCTTGAAATTGTACAGAAAAACAGCAAGTTACACCTTCCCAAATTCTGGGTAACTGCTTCTGCTTGCCAGAACCCATGCTGACCCGAGAGCAGGGACTTCAGGTGGAAAGCAAATTCCAGGGGAACTTGTGCCAAGGGGAAGGAGTGAGAAAAGGTGGGAGAGAAAGCACGTGTGCATTCAGCCTCAGCCCCTGAATCACTTCCATCTGCAGGGAAGGCCCAGTGTGACTGCTGTTCTTCATCAAGTATGACCTGCACATCGGGAAAAGATTCATCGATACTCATTATGTTCTGCTTACTGAAACGGGGCGGAGGGGTTCCCTAATGTATTACAGAAATGAAAATGGTTAAAATAAAGAAACTCTTTCATTTGATTAGACCCTGACTTATCCCAATAAAGGATTAGGCTGAGTAAAGGGTTAAGTTTCTGGGGGGCAGAGTGGGGTGGGGGGAACTAATTTACGTGCGCCAATTTTGTGGCTCAGCTTATTTGCGAGGATGTCGGATAAATGAAGTCTTCCTCTATAACAGACAGCAGAAAAATCACAGCTCTTGTGCTGGCTTAGCAAGGTGAATAAGCAGAGTGTATAATGGAATTCATTTGCAGAGCAATTTTTGCTTGGCTGGAGTGGTAAGCACAAAATAGATCGGCAGATGAGAATGGTAAGTGTTTGGGATCAGTTGTTGAAAGGTCTAAAAGGGGTTCTAATTCAAGAGACATTTTATGGTGTAGAGAAGGGGACTGATATAATCAAAATGATACTTGAACAAGATAATTTTTACTGGCCTGCATATAATGGGAGGAGTGGGGCAGCTGGGAGGCCGGGCAGCTTAGTGGGAGGCATGAGCTCCCTGGAGATGGGGCTGCTGTGGGGTTGCGTGGGAGGATACCCAGAAAGCACTTGCCAGCATGCCCGGCCCACAGGTTTGAAAAATATTTGCTCCTTTTACTTTCTCCTCACAGCTCCTGGCGGGGATCTAGGATCAGGAAGGCTTGTGGATGTTGGCAGTACTGTGGCATTTCTTCTATTCTCCTAAGAATCTCTGCTTCTTGTAGGCTGTTCATATTGCCCAGGATCTTGTTGGATCATAATATAACCTGATGTGGTCTTCACACCTTAGCATTCAACCTTTTGACACAGGAGGACGCTGAGGTCCAGAGCAAGGAAAAGGCTGTGGCTGTGGCTGTTGCCTAGAATCTGGTTGGGGATAGAACTAGGGCTCTTGCACCCTGCCTGGGCAGTGTGTGCAGAAGCTCCAAAGCACTAAGTGCAACCTCGCTGTGGTGCAGGAGCAGGTGGAGCTCAGAGTCATTATTACCCTTTGACCCAGAGCGCTGGTCCTCTGGTCCCTTATAGTCTGCAGTGCCACACCGAGCCCTTCCTGGAACTGGCATATTTCTCTCTTTTTCCATGGAGAGCAAGACCACAAGTGCCCTCAGCTCCACCCTTTAGTCTTCTGTTAGGAGCTTGGTCCTGTTTCCCAGCTTGACAAGTTCATAGCTTGTCACCATGAGCTACTTACTAACCACAGAGAAGCACAGGAGTGGAACCGGCATAATCGTGATGGCTTTTGCAGAGCCTCATGGCACATTTAAGCTTTTAAAAAATACTGCTTTCCTGAGGTCCAGTTTATAGTCATTCTTGCATGTTTACAATGGCCACACTTGAAGCCATGCCATTGCTTTTAGCCATGACAGGACATTCTGACCCCACTTGGGATCTGTGGGTGCCTTTTCATCTGGTGCTGGTCCTGACCTGCCTTAGAAGCCTTTCAGTCCTGTTGAGTAACATTTGGAAGTACCTGAACACAGACTTTCCCAGTAATAAGAGCACAAATGAGGAGGCCAGCTTGCCTTGATTTCGGTGGATCCTGGGGCAAGAGTGCAGCACAAGCCCCCAAGCCTGCCACCCACTCCTCTCTCTCCTCCTGGGTTTCAGGTCTGAGCTGTAACCACCCCACCTCCTCTTGGACCTGGGAGTGCCTCTGGGATGCCTGTTAGGCCTCCATGTGCCCCCACAGGCCTGGGAAGGCATCTGGAAGCAGGCATGGGGCGTTTTGGGCAGGGAGTCCTAAAGCCCTGGAGATGTGGAAGAGAGTGTGTGGTTGCTCAACTTGTAAGTGGGCACACCCTTGACCCTGGGGACTCCTCACCCCTGGGGGCAGGTGTGGCCAGGGCCTTGTGCCCCGCCTAACGGCAGTGCTGATAAGGGGACACCTTGCTTCAAATACTTGGGCAAGAAAGACAACTTGAAACGCTTCCTGTTGTACCAGTGGTGGCTGGTGATTGCCTCACCTCATGCTCGGCCTGCCTTTCTTTCTCTTCTCCCTTTGGCTTAGATAAGTAGTAAAATGGACCCATTTCCTTAGCTCGCTAAGGTAGTTCTACAGGCAGTGTGCTCCTTCCAGCAGGGAAGCTTCTCCCAGAGCTAGTAGTTATCTGACTGCTGTTGGCCTTTGTGAGTTAACAGCCACTGGCATGTGACCTCTCCTCCGGTCTGTCCTCCTGGATGACATCTCTCCTGGTTGCTTCACCTGCTACTCTACCCACAAAGCCAGGCACTTTGCCTGCCACTGACTTTGACATTGAGTAGCTGAGGGTGTGCACATGCCTTGTTGCCTTGGTACGTGTGGGGTCTTAGTGGTCGTACCGTGGAACTCTCTTCAGGTTGTATTTGTGTGGGGGTGGTTGTGGAGAAGTGGTTCTCCAACCTTAGGATCACCTGTCACCTGGAGGGTTGTTTCTAATTTGTGAGGTCTGTGATAGGGCCCAGAAATTTGCATTTCCAGTTGAGAGTCATTGTTTCGGAGGAGTGCATTCAGAGTGATAAATCAGTACATATGTAAAATCACATGGAAGTTGTTTTGATGAAAGCCTTTCTTGATGCCTGACAGTCAGAGACCTGGCCTTAGCATCACTCGAAGCTCCACTGCCTGGCAGCTGGGACCCCAGAGTAGTCAGGGATGTGCAGATCAGGCCCTCGCCAGCTGTCCTGCCTCTGCACCCTCCCTGGTGGCTCGGCTACTTTCTCTTGATGTTCCAGAGCCAGCCAGTCTGTAGTCTGGCGTTTTGGCCCTGGGGCCCCTGGAACAGATATCATTCTCACAGTAACTTTATTATTAGTTAGCATCTAAGAGACCTGTGATTTTCTCCATTTACAGAAGAGGAAATTGAGGTTTAGTGTTATTAAATAACGTATCCCAGGTCTCCTAACCAGTAATTGGTAGAGCCAGGGCTTGAACCTGAGTCCCCTTGACGCCAAAGCCTGCTCTTGTCTTGACAGGCAGGCTGCCTACTTCTCACAGGTGAGCCAGAGTGGTCTGCACAGCATATGGTGGGGAGGGGTCTGGCATGGATCCTTCTTGGAGAAGAGCTGACTAAATGGGAGCCCACTGGGGATAGAGCACTAGGATCCCAAACACAAATGTCCCAACCCTCTGTTCTTGCTCACCAGGCCAGATGCAACGGCTGGCATATATGTGACGTGTGGTCAGGGGCAAACATGCCATGAGATGCCTTTGAGCAGCAAAACAGGTAACATGTCTGAGAATAAAGTGAGCCCCGGGTGGGGGAGGAGATATTATGAGAAGATGTTTATAATCGCACATACTTATCACCAGTTGTGTTCTAAGACCTCACGTGTGTTCATTCATTGTACCCCTGTGGTGATATGGAAGATCGACCTGGAGTTGGATCCACCTGGCACCCTGGACCCCCAGTATATGGATTCAAAGGGGGGGTCTTCCAGTCCCCCCTAGATAAGGAAGTGAAATTTGTAAATATATTGGCTCTTTTCCAATTTAAGTGGCTTTCATTTCAATCAAAATCTAAGTATTAGCTGGGTATCAGTGACTCACACCTATAATCCTAGCTACTTGGGAGGTTGAGAATCGGCAGGATTGAGGTTCCAGGCCACCCCAGGCAAAAAAGTTCATGAGACCCCATCTCAACAGAAAAAGCTGGCATGGTGACATGTGCCTGTCATCCCAGTGACAGCAGGAAGCTTAAAATAGGATGGTCGTGGTAAGAAGCAGATCCTGTCTCCAAAATAACTAGAGCAAAAATGGC